TGTTACAGACAGAGCTGATACCAATATATTCATGGTCTAACGCACAATTTTAAGAGCAGACACAATACAACCTCTTGAAAAACTGAGCTGCTTTGCTACAGAGATTACTAATCTGCAATAATAGAAGAACGCCTCAATTTCTGGAACTGAAAATCTTACTTGAAATTCAGCCTTTTTGTTCTTAGCTTCCCAACATCTTCACAGGTGTCAGATTTTAACGTTATAATCTCATCTCAAGTTTGTTCTTACATCTGAGGCTCTCCTGAAGACAAACTTTAGGCATAAATATATTATGTTATGTTGTTCTCTGACCTGAAACATGCAGCACTAAGCTGCTTTCTTTTACCTTTACGAGGTTGTTCCTTATATTTTCTTAAATGTATCACTACGGAGCTTCATCTTTTGGGGAGCCAGATGTCTAATATTTCTGTAGTTGTTACCAGTCAGTGAGATTGGAAGCAGGAATCAGTGTAATGCTGTCAATCAACTATGAATGTGTAAAGCTATGAATCAGACCAAAGTGATTCAGAGGCATGAATGGTAAAAGATAAAGATGCAGGAAGAGAAAAGGACTAAAAAAAGATAGGGAAGATACAGAATATGAATGAGAGGCACAGAGCATGAAAGCCCATTTCAAACTGGGGCTTGCATAAAAGAAGTGAAGCTAAGAAAAGAAACTGAGGCCCTCACAAAAGTGTAAAATATTGAAAAGGAAGAGAGTAATAGGGTTACTATGAAACTGAGATTATATGGGTGCAAATAATTGAGGCAGCAGATTCAGCAAAATACAGATTCAATTTTAAGTGTGCTTTTCAGTCCCACAGAGGCTGAACCCAGGCTTAGTATCCTGCCTGTGCTTATGTGCTAAATTAATGGCTTAATTAACATAGTCTTGTCCTTCAGCTGTCACTGAACTGTAGGATTCACTCCATCCAGGGAATTCAGACTGCATGCTACTTCAGAAAACTGCTCTTGTTTAAGAACACGAAACCTACACTTACAAGGCACGATTCCTCTTTAACGTTTTTCGGACTGTTTTTACTTGGAGGGTTTTAGTAGGACTTGGCATTGATCCAATACACATGAACTCCTCCAAGGGTAGAAGACAGTTTGAAATCCTCCCTAAATTTTTTTTTCCCTATGTTACTATGTTGAACTAAACAGAAAGTAGCTTCTTGTTGTTGTTTTTCCTAGTATTCCTGAATTGCTTCACGTACACAATGCAGTAAAATGTAAAAGAAAATTGTTTTTGGAATTTATGCTACCAATTTTTCCCTGTTAATGACTTTTAGGCCCAGTAAAATTAACAGATGTTTCCTACCAAAATAGCGTGAAACTAAATTTTAAGTGGTTTTTCTCTTTTAAAAACACAAAACTAGAGACTGTCAAATAAATATGGTTTATATACAATCATAAAGCTCTTATCTGAAGTTAATTAAAAATTAATCTTAGGTAGATATATCGTGGTGGTTTTGTAAATGTGTTTCTGGGGACGAGATTAATTACATCCATTGATGTGAATAATATACAATCGATACCCATTTTCCTTTCTAAAAGGTTGAAATCAAATCCATTCTGCAACTGGGACTTTGTTGTTGTACCTAAAAAATCAGTATAACAGGCAGTTAAAATGGGAACAAAGAAAAAAATGAAAACAGTAGAAGGTAACTGCAGTTAATCGAGTAACATATGAAATATCACATAACTTTCTGAAAATCCAGATATATTTTCAATAGGTAGAATTCATGATAGGTTACAGATATTCACAATTTTTCATTGCTCCTCTTTGATTTTTAATTAAAAATACTGTGGGATCATTTATCAAAATGTGTTTCTTAAAAGGAGAATTATGGCAAAGGAGAAAAGTAATGGCTTTGGTACTGTCTTAATTCAAATAATTTAACAACTAAAAATTATCGGAAAAGGGTGAGTTTTTGTTCCAGTGTTGTTGTGGCTGTTAAATTATAAAGCCATATTTCAGGGAATATACTGCTCCGCAGTATATATAAACAGAGCTTGAACAGTTTCAGAGATGACATGGATCCAGTTATTCATGGGCAGGCATCAGGAGGACACTGGATCTCTCCCTCTTAGGTAAAAGGGCTACTACCCTGCAAAAATTAGAGATTCTACAACTTCTCCAGACAACCAGTTCCAGTGTTTGAACATTCTTACGGTATTTTTCTTCTTCTATCTCCGTCCAGCAGGTCAGTATTGTTGTTGTACTGGGAGGAGCCCAAAACTGGATACAATACTCAGATGCAGTCTTACAAGTGCCAGATAGAGGTGAAGGATCACTTCTGTAGCTCTGCTGGCCCCTGGACCTCTTGCTAATATAGTCCAGGATGCCACTGGCTTTCTTCACTGTGACATGCTGCTTGTCCACTAGGAACTCCAGTTTCTTTTTTGCAGACCAGCTTATGAATATCCTCCAGAATATATAGTTGCAATGGGCAATTCCTCTCAGATACAAGAGCTTGCACTTCTTATCTTGGGGTCTGGGAAGTTTGTGTCAGCTTGTTCTGTAGATCATAAAGGTCTCTCTGAATAGCAGCCCTGCCCTCCAGCTGAATTCAGCTTTTGAGATATAATAAAAGAATGGAAAAGCTTGAGAACCACAGTGGGAAAGAAGCATCAGAAGCCTATCAGGGGAAGAGAACCAGATGGAGATAAGATATCTTCATTTACCTCTAGAAGTTACTCATAATGGGAAGGAAACACTATCGAAATGCTCAGTTGCCTAAGCATTTTTCTGTTGGCACTAAGAAGTTAGTTTGATCTTTGGTCCTACCCTTTTGAAAAAAAAGATTTGCGCTGATTTCATAGTAGCTGTTGGCACCTTGCCTTATGGTATTGATATTGCATGATACTGTATTTGTTTCTCATAACATTTTAGTTATGTATCTCTTTTGATTTGATGACAGGAGCAGTTTTAAGTCACAATCTAAAATGGAGTCTTTATATACAGTCCTGTTTCCCCCAGAGGGGTTGCCTGGGAACTCTCACAGACTGAAATGTGCAGCACTCTGCAGATGGTCTATTTAAACTCATTTTGTGCTGCACTCTTCTTAGGAGGAGGAAGATTCTGAAAGCCAGGAAGACCATCTGGATTTATCTAATTCTTTTTTTTTTTTTTTTTTTTTTTTTTTTCTGCATTAAAAGTGTGTATTAAGACAAGCCATCCAAACAGTTGCATTGCTAATGGAATGATATTCCTCATTCTTTGGCTCCGTATATTCCATAAATCTTTAAGGCTTTTAGAGTGGATAAACTGTCATAGTTTGTCACCACTTCCATCAGGATGGCGTTCTCTTTGCAAAGCATGTATCCTAGGGCTCTGCATGAGCCATTTGTGGTTAGGGAATGTGGCTCCAGGACAAACTCGTAAGATAGATGGAGCAAATTCGGCCTCTGGCAGCTTTAGGAATTACTGCAAGTTCTCACACCCCTTGTAGAAATCAGCCCTCTCCCAAATCCAGCACTCTTTTCACATGAGGAAATAAGAACCTTCAGAACAATTTTGAATCGAGCTAGGACAATACCACACACAGCCTTGACAACAAAAAATAATGCAGGAGAAAGCCTTTCCGAGTCCACCAGGGAACACTGCTGATTTATGTGTAGGATGTTCCTGTTAATGCACGGCACTATTAAGCCACAAATTATTCAAGGAGCGATTTTTCCAGTACACAACAAATATTGCTAATGATTAGTGATCCTAAGAATGTGGTCTCTATAGAGCAGAAAGGATGTTATTGCAGTGCTATAACTGCTTCACGTGACCTGCGGTATGAACCTCTGCGTCTGCTGAATGAGAGACAAAGGAGCGCATATAGATTACCTTCAGCCCATCTGCCATTACATGCTGCGGGATGTCTCAGTGACTATTACATCCTACAAGCTGACTTAAAACGGCCTCACGTCAGACAGCCTTCATTTACTGCTTTCACTGAGGTGTTGCTAAAAAGGTATCAGCAGGAGAAAAGTATGAAACTTAGTAAACTTGCATTAAGGAACGCTTTGTAACACCCTGCGTGTTTTTTTTGTGAAAAAAAGCCTCAGCAAGCACTGAGCATCGAGTTGGCCGTCTGTCTATTCTCAACATCTTGACTAGCAACAGTAATCTTAAAGCAATCAGTGAGCACCATTTAAACAGTTCTTTGAGCAGCTGTGTGGTTGGGTAGGACTTCCCCTTAAGTGCCCTTCCTGCCATGGTGGTGCAGGGGGTGCAGACACCACTGGTCAGGAAAGCAGCATCTGCCTCACAGAACTGTTAGGGGATGTGGAGAACGCTTTGAGTGCTTGCTGCCCCCCAAGTAGGCTTTCATGGTTGCCTTGGGCAGCTAATTCAGTGCAATACCAGCTACTCTAAGTCTCTCCAGAAATGCAGTTTTGCTTTCTTGTTGAAATACTTGAAATATAGGGTTCTTTTTCTTCAAAATATCTGCTCCTCATGATGAGCATAGCCCTCAATAACCAGCCTCCAATCACACACTAGGTGTTCCAAGAGCTAGATGAGAAATAGCCGGAATTGCAACGCCCTGAGCCCTGTCGGCTGTTCTCTCACTTTCTTACAGCTGGAATCGTGTTTATAAGCGGATACCAGCGACACCAGTTTATTCTTTTCTGTTTGAAACAGCGAAGCTCGTGCCTCCACCGAGTTTTCTGAAGCAGTTTTGCCTCAAAAGCGAAATGCTCTCGGTCAGATCTTAAGGGAGAACCGAGGAGGCACAAAAAGGGGCGGCGAAGCTCGAGCCCGTCTCCCGCGGGGCGAACGCCCCGCCTCGCCTCTGAGGAGCCCTCCCGAGGCCGGGGCTCCCGCGTGCCGGGGGCGGGCCGCGGGGGCGGCAGGAAGCGGGGCAGCCCCTCAGCCGGCGGGGGCCGCGGCGCGCACCCGGAAGAGCTTGGGCCGCTGGCAGGGGGCGCCTGGCGGCGGTTGGGGGCGTGCGCTCGGTCCGTCGGCGGCCGCGGGGCGCAGGGCAGAGACGCGGCCCGACCCGGCCGCCCCGCAGCCCGCGATGCGCTCGGACCGCCGGCCACGCCGCGGGGCATGGTGAGCCCGGGGCGGCCGCTCCCCGCGGGGACCCGGCAGGCGGCCTCGCTACTCCGCCTCGGCCTCCTCCTCCTGCCGCCGCTGCTGCGGGGCTCCGGGGCGCAGAAAGGTGAGCGAGCGGGCGGGAGAGCGAAAGAAACCGGCGCGGTTGGGAGCGGGCTCCCACCTGTGCTCCGCCACCGGCGCGTGGCCCCGCGTCGCGAAGTAGAATCCCTTCGCGGGGACGGAGCCCCGTGCTTTCCTCCCTTCCTCGGGGCCGCCCGAGGCTGCAGGCCTTCCTCCGGCGGGGGGAACGCGGGGCGGCGGGCACGGCTGTTGCGCTTCAGCTCGGTGTGGGTGTGCGGAGTGCTGCGAGGCGGGGGGGCAGAGCGCCGTGCTGGCTGCGGAGATCCACAGAGCGCACCCCAGAGCTGGGAGCCGATCTAGGGGCAAAAGTGCTGAATCTGTGGTTATGGAGGGTTGGTCGCTGTGGTTTTGTGTGGGGTGTTTCTTCTTTTCTTTTCTTTCTTTTTTTCTTTTTTTCTTTTGGCTTAGAGAAGTCAGAGAGGTTTGTCCTTGGGTGGAATTAATGATCAGGCTTCTTCAACGGGTTGAAAATTACAGGGCGAGATGTGGTCATTTGGTGGCAGCGGATCAGAGGATGCCGCAGTAAATGTCACTTTGATCACAGCCTCGGGAGAGAGCGGTGGGAGTGAGTGTTTTGACAGCATCTTGAAGCTCTCCCTTCTGTGAATACAGGGCTTGAGAAATGCTGCAGTTTTCAGCTCCTCTTGCTTTGGCACTGCTCTGGCTTTGGGTTGGGAACTCAGCTCTCTTCAAGTACGTTTCCGCACAAATGAAGGAGAGGTGGAAATGTATCTGAATGTCACAAATGCTGTATTTAAATGCACAGAAGCGATCAGAAAATGCACGCGGTGTACTGATAAGCACACATCTTAACTCATTTCTTGTATGGAAAAAGATTGGAGAAGTGCTCATAGAGGAAACTACTCCTCCACTGTCTTATCTTGTCATCTTATTTCCACCTATACACATAGTGAAGCTGACACCAGCAAGCATTTGGCATGCTTTTGTTGTTGTTAACAGAGGAGGAGAAGACCCATTTGTTTTTGAGAAGAAATAGGGCAGTTGGAGCATTGTGTCTTTTGAAGGCTGTTTCTGGATGAGTCTGGCAGCAGCGAGGTGTTGGTTTGTGCTGTTGAAGCATCACGCTCCTGGATGTGTGCTCCAAATGCTTGTGCTGACTTGACACTTGTCTGACCTTTTGGTGAGCAGACTGCGTTTGTTATTCTAGGAGAAAACTGAAATAACCAAGGGGAAAAGAAAGAAGTGTAGTTTTCCTTCAGCTCAGGGAGCTGAATTGGTTCAGTGAGTGGTCAGCTGTATGCAAAAGGGTTGGCACCACATAGTAAGAAGTGGGAGCATGTGGACAGTGTATTTCTAAGTGCGCTGCTCACATTGTTCCTTTTGTAGTCCTACCCAGAATTTCAATTTAAAGGGTCTGTCTGCTTAATGCTTGCAGTTTGCTCAGAAGATTCGCTTCAAAGAGGGAGGAAAAGCTGCTCATTGACAAGCTTCATTTTATTTGTTTAGGTTAAGATAAGATAAGGTTAAGATTTCTTGTGCTGTTGGATACAGTGGTCTTTATAGTGAGAAAATGTTGGAAATTCTGAGAAAACTCTGCTTGTGAGCGACCATTTCCTCATGATGCATTTTCATTTATTTTACTACAGAAAAGGCTGGAGAGCCTGTACCTTCAATATTGGTATCAGTCTAATTTGGTTAAAGAGTAGACATAGAAATGAAACTGCTGCCTTTTTCATGAAGAGTCCGCTCAAAACTAAATAGCACATTAAATATGTGCACAGAGTTGTAAAAGAATATTCTGATTACCAGGAAAGTACCCAAGGCTTAGGAAATTCCACAGTTAAAGTTGCCTTTAATCTCTTAGAAGAAATACAGTGAGTTCCTACATGTTATGAAGGAGCCCAAGCTGGCTCGGTACATTAGGGAAGCTGATCCTCTCAACAAACAGCTATTCGTTTTCTTTCTTGCTGTTCAGCAGCTCTAAGCCTCGCACGCTGCAAGGCATGTGGATCCTGTTCTGAAGATGGAACTTTTCCATCTCCCACATGCTTTCCTGGAGAGCTTCTCGCTGGTATCAAGTGATTAAAAAATAACTCTATGTTTTTGGACAGTGTGAAACTTATTTTGAATGTTTGTCAAGAGTTTTCTTACCCTTCCAGTGAGGAAGTCAAAACTAGTGTGGAAGAAGTGTGGGTGATACTGCAGTGAATAGATGTTTCGCTTAGTAGCCCACTGTGTTGTGGGATTAAAGTGTGGTCTGTCATGCTGAAAATCATCTTGTGTAGGTAACTCAGCATTCTTTGGGACAGGGTGCTGAGCAGTGGCTCACTGTCTTGGAAAATAAGAGCATTTTGCATGAGGTCTAATGCCTTTGGAAACATTAAGAAAAGCTCAAGAGAAAAGTACCTGTGCTACATTTGATACAGTCTTGTGCATCAGGAACTGCCCAGGTGGCTGCTGTGCAAGTCACCTCGTGTGATTTTGAAAACGCTGTGGTGACTCGAGCTCCTGCTTGATAGGAAATTGATATTAGAAAGGAACACAAAGCATTTTAGTTGTTTTTCATATAATTAAGTAGCTGAGGGAAAGGAAGTCAGCCCCATTCCTGCTCTTTGCAGATTGTATTTTGAGAAGCAGTGCTCCTAAGAGATATCCAACTAGTGGCGTAAATCCTGTGTGATGTGTTTATTAGTTAGCTTTTTTGAGGGTGTGGAGACGTTGTAAAACAGCTCAGAGGGAAATGGTTGCTTGCTTGTCTTGCACCCAAATTGAAGGTAAGCGATGTCAGTTATTCTAAAGGTACAAAGATTGTAGAGAACAAGAACTTTATCACATGTTTGGTAGTCATCTGATGGGTTTCCTAGTGAATATGGGCTTGCATATAAGGCCTTGAGTATCAAATAAACTTTCAATGCTGTAGTTAATACCAAGTGATTTGAAGCAGATTTGTTTACCACTTTCTCTTTAAAAGATTAGACTTACAGTGCTTGTTTTTGAATGTGATTGCCATGTTTTGCCAATCTATGAGAACGTAATTGCATAATCAAGCCTCCTACAAGAAAGTGATTCATCATTGTAGCTTAAAAAACATTTGCTACAGCACAGCAGAGAAAAATCCCTTTTGAATGTGTAGTGCTGAGTTACTGTGTTCTGAAACATTGGGAGAAAGAGTTAATGACTGTGCATTGAGCCTAGTAAAAGTTATCCATGGCCTCTGTCTTGCAATGGAGCATCAGTGTTCCTGGATTCATTGCTGTTCCCTGGAGCTCTTCCACGTACCCTTCCCTTCTGCCGTGCCCCTGCCTCACCTCAGCTCCACCAGCCAGCAAGGCAGCCAGCAGCTGTGGCTTTTACTGTGATCAGTATGGAGTTGGAAATAAATGTCTATCCCTTTGGGGGACTAGGAAAACCTTCCAGCTGAAAGGCCATAATTATGCACCCCAGGTTTTTGCAAAGAGCTCCTGGCATGTCAGTGTGAAGCACTACCACGTGAGTGTCTGCTGTGTGACAATTGTGTGCTACCTTTCTTACCAGTGCCATTTTCTCCTCTTGCTCTGTTCTGCTGGGTAGTGTCTCTTTGCCCTTTGTGTCCATAGTCCTGGGCTGGGCTCATTTGGGAAGAAAAGGATCACATCCAAGCCCTAAGGAATTATTTTGATTAAAAAGACACCCCCTCCAAGCTTGTTGGATGGAAGATTTATTACCTGTCAAATAAACATTAGAGTAGGTCTTTTATGATGAGGAGAGCAGTGCTCTGTTGAACTATTTACTGTTGGCTAATGTTACAGTTTCACTTAAGAATGCAGCATTGTGCAGATGTTATTGTGCAGAATGCTGACTCTTGAGGATTCCGGATTTGTGCCATGTAGGCAGGAGTGCTGAAGCACATCCCCTTTGTCCTTGTGACAAGGCGTACAGAAAAGGTTTTCAAGACTGAGGCGTGAAGTTCTGCCAGACCTAGCTGCTGTGTCTGCTGCCTTGAGTTTTCTCATGTTCTCTTTTGCTTCCTGGCACTGTAGTGTGGGCATTAGGGAGAGGGAGCGCCCTACAGAATTGTGTGGAAAAGTGCTCTTCATAAGCAGGAGAGGTGTGAGCTGCCATTAAAAGTATGAACCTAAAGATGATGATTACTTTTTCACGTTTGAAAACAAAAACATCAGCAAAACTGTTTTTCCTCCTCCAATTACTCATCCTTATTTGAAGTGGTTAAGTGGATGTGGTAGGCAGAAGGTACACACGTGTGCTGTGCAGATCCATGCTGTCTGGGAGGTTGCCCTGCAGTGCTGATTCTGTTCAGCACAGCTGATGTCCAGGAGCCTGCTGAGGCACTGCTCCTCCTGAGAGTGTGCTGGCACCACCATTTTGTGTCCGTGCTCTTAGGCTTCCTGTACTCCATCCCGGAATGTATTGATGTTGCTTTGGATTCAAGGAGCACGGTGCACATAGTTTTTGTATATTCGTGTATGTGTGTGTACAGGACTTCAAAAAATGAGTATGTGAGTTAGTGTTAAAGCAATAATGTAAATAAATATTCTTTCAGAAGTCTGTGGGCTGTTGCATTGGGCATCTCAAGCCAGTGGCCCTCTGACAGAGTAGTGCATCTTTACGAAAGCTATGTTTGTGCTACTGAATGGAGATTGAGATAAGAAAACATTTCACTCTATGTTACTTGCATAAGAGAAAACAAATTGTCTCCTTTTCTGTGGTTCTCCCACATGTTTTTTGCTCTGAGAAGTGATGTGTGAGGTTTTTAATTTGATTGCAGCTGTCCTTTATCAAGTAGTCATCAACTAGGGAAGTGCTGCCTAGAATGAATCAGCTTAACTCAGGTAATCATCAGTATAAATGCGATTCTTGTTGGAACTGCAGCTCACCTTATTGACGAATGTTTCTCTGTTGGTTACTTTTCTATACTTTAAAAGGTTTTTGAATAAGCTGTTGCACATCATCCCCATCCTTGCAACTGTGTGCTTCACAGTGAGGAAGAGCTCAGTCAGGATTACCAAGAATTGGTTCTGTAGT